AACTTATAGCTCAACAGTAAAGCACATGGCTTACCATGTATACTTGAAAGAACTCACAAAAAAGGGTTCAGTTCCTGACATCTCCAGGAATAAGTGTCTTAAGCAGCAGAACTGCGAAAGTGCACTTCCTGGGTCTTTGCAGTGCCTTTGCTGGTTGAGAAGACAATGCTGAGCTGGATAGATCAACAGCCTGTACTGAAGGCAGCTTCCTATGCTGTTTAAAACAATAACCGGATGCCTGCAACAAATGGGCTGTTACAAATGCCATAATACTGAGAAATGCTAGCATGGAAGGCTACTGTATGCCCCATTTTCGATGCATAAGATTAATTCATCAATATCCATTTCTCTGCATCTGTAATTACAACAGAATGTAACATCCTCAGTTCAAGGAGTTAATCATTCAGCCCCTCCAATACTTCTCCATGAGCAAGCAATGTATGACTAAGTGGAAGAGATGCACATTCAGTGAAATCTCCTGTGACATTAGCATTAAATGGATACCATCAAGGAAAAATTTGCTGCCTACTGTTGCATAATCTTGCAGCAGTCTCATTCAAGGGAATGTTTCTGGGTGTGGCCTACTGAAAATTTTCAAGACCTAAGCATTTTGTACTTTAGAAAAGCAAATTAGGACTCTATCATTCTTTGGCAGAGAGTTTCAGCTTCCCATTTTATGTACTTCGAATTTCACCTTGATGTTTAATGCAAAGTCAAAGGCTGCTATTAAGTGTAGGTGACTGCCCATTTCTGGCTATACAACTAGGAGAATTAGAGCTTTCTTGGAGAGACTGGAGGGATGCTATATAGCCCAAAGACAAGCTTTTAGATGCAAAGCCAGCACAAAGAGTGGGGTGGGGTGGGGGAATGCAGGAGGTCATGAATTATATTTGAGGTACACCTTGATTTGCAGGAGCACAAATTAGCAAAGAAAAAGCTCTGGACAGTTTATGGTGGCCAGATGTGTTCAGCAGAAGAGCCACACAGGGTAAATCTCAGAAGTTTGAGAGCTGCAAGTGGGTAGTGAGCAGCAAGCAGGCACCTGTGGGTGGGGGGGGGGGGGGGAGCGAACAGCAGGTGGGTGCTTGGGGGGCTTGCAGGAGGGAGTAGCAAGCCGAAAAATAAAGAGCCACATGTGTCTCCCTGGCCTCTAGTTTGGCCACCTCGCCTATGTACCATAACCAGATACACTTTGCTTAAAAGGAAAATCCTTTTCCTTATAGTATTCAGTCATAAAAGAGGACTAGACTATAGTGACTCAGAGTTAATTTGGCACAAGGGAGGAAGATGTATAGAATAAATACAGTCAGACAGAAGTTCTTTATATGGGTAAAATAAAGCCATAATTTAATTTGCTATATTCTTTTTCTCTATGTAGCAAAGCTGTTGAGATGAAAGCTGTGGTACCTTGCAGAGGATGGTAATAAAAGTCATATAATCAAAGCCACAGGATGGTTACAAGGAATCTTTTGTTCCCTTTTCTTTATAAATGTATTATCCTGTCTTTTGGAAAACTTCTTAAGGGAGTTTACATTAATAAAATACATTTTCATATGTCTTAAAAGAGCAAAAACTTACCAGGTTCTTCATGGCATTTAAATGTGCAAGAATACTATCTTCAAGGTGGGTATTTCCCTTTCAAAAATAATTTTAAAATCCCACTTGTTGGACTAACAATGCAATGTATAAGATATGTCTACACAGAAGTGAGTCTCGCTGAATTCAATAGCAGTTACTGTCATATTACAGACTATAGGGCTGCCACCAGTATTTAGCTGTGAGTCCAACCGATCAAGCATTCATACAAGTCACACATGCTATCTGCCTTATTTACATGCTCATTCCATGGTGCCACCCCTTAGCCAAAAAGAGTCTCCCAACAGCAAAGAGCTCATGTGCAGCATTTTTTCGAAACCATGCCAGGAAAGGTCAAGTTGACCTGCATGGTCCTCAACAAGAAGGCCTTATCCTGTTTATACTAACTGTCAAATGTTCATTCACATGCAGTCTTTTTTTTAAAAAGCGTGTCCTTGTGTTCAGGATCCAGCAACAGCAACACAGAAAGATAGTGCTTTTTAGAAGCTGCTATGGGGGAGGTACTAATTCAACAGGTCTGCAGTATCTCATTTTACCGGCTCAGGATACTATTAGTTATGCCCATTTATTGCAACTGCCAGCCAACTTCAAATCATGCAATAATGCTGGGAGCTCCAGGATTGCACTTACTGGGCAAGGGTGTTGCCCTGCCTTAGCTTGCATTAACTTATATTATCACTTCATCCACCCAATAATAAAAGTTCTCTGCATTATGTAGAGCTAACATATTGAAATGCCATCCACAAGCTGCACAGGAGAAGCAATTCAGAATATATATTTTTGGAACACCAGAAAATCTAAAATGGCTGGTACTGAAGAGGAAGGGCTTTGCGTGGTGCTGAAAAGATAAGGATGGGGCACCAGGCAAGTCTCCTTGGGGAATGCATTCCAGCAATGGCACAGCAGCTGAAGGCCCTGAAGAATGAGATGGGGTGTAATGTCACCACTGCAGGATGCACTAAGGAAAGGGAAGGAAACTTGTGACTCCTGTAGCTCCCCAGGGTATACCCCTACCCCTAAACTATGGGGGTCACTTTTTAAAAAAGCACAAAATTCCATCTATAGCACGTATGGAGAAAGGTATGGCATTCCATAGCAGTTCCAGACACCATTTTTGGAAATATTTTGTATTTTCTCCCCTGTTTTGGTACTCAAATGGGGACAGGGTTGGGGCCTGCTGGAGGAGGCAGGGGTGAAAATGGCCCTGGGATCTCCTGAAGATGTTCATCCCTGAAGAAAGGGTTAATTAATTCTTGCCAGTAATTGCACAGTGGCCAGGTATGAATGGGGGTATCCATACTGCATATATTCCCATTCCTTGGTGCTCTGGTGTCAGTTTTTCTTTGCATCCTGACATGTTTGCAGCCCTCTAGTATTCTGAAGTTGTCTGCACAGCACAGGGTGGGGTGTCAGATTTCAGTAAGAGACTAGTCTCCCTTGCCTTTCATATCTTCATAGACTGATGAGGCACACCTGTGATAGTAAAACAGTAGGAGAGAAGCTACATTTCAAGTACGTATTTTTCTGTGCTCCTCTTCAGGACACCACGGCCCTGACAGACACCTGGTCTGCCAGCAAGGCAGGATGATTTGAACATTTTGTCTTTCTCCCATCAGAACTCTTCCATACTCTTTGCCAAACTTTGCACTGATAGTTCATCATTTGGTTTCAGGAAGTTATGATTCAAAGGGTAATTTGTTTCATTCCAATGAGTGGAAATCAGTGAACCTGTCCAAGAGCCTCAGGGACTTGGAATGGAACATATACATATTTAGGCTTTCTTCCTGAACTCATTTTAACGAATTGATCTCAGAAAGTATTGACTGCAAAGCCTCTGGTGTGCCTGGAGAGCTTGAGAGTGCTGCATATGGGATGCAAGTAGAATTGAAGAAATCATTACAAATAAATGCATACAAATATGGGTCTGTTTGGCAGTAGGCAGACAGCAACCCAACAGTCTCCTTTTATGAGAGACAGACTAGGCATAGTTTTGCCCTGTATATGAAAATAAAGCGTTGCTTGCAGGTGTACTATTTGTCACTATCATCTGTAGCAAATGCTTCCCAAGTTTGTATGTTGTCCATCGTAAATATGTGGGTGAGGGAAAAGAAGCAAGCACCTTTTTTTTAAGGAAAAAGAAAGTAATACAGTTTTTCTTGTCTTTTTGGGGGGATGTGCAGAATTCAAGACACTTTTACCCAATCCTGTAATGGTCTGAAATCTTGTTTGGATTTTGCAGCAGGAAGCAGTAGAAGAAGGAAAGAGCTGCATGAATCTGCATAGACACGTTTGTGTTCTCCTGCCTCTAGGACAGGGCTGAGCAACATGTATCCCTCCCGATGTCAGTGGGCTGTGCCCTCCCCCCGAGTACTAGCCAACATAGCCAATGGTGGGGGGTTGATGGGGGTTGCAGTACACATCTGGTTGCTGGACTAGTGTAGTTTGCTCAACCCTTCTGTAAGTTCTGGTTCTTACGAGAGGTGTACAAAACACATGCCCTGTGCATCAAGTACTGAAGGCTGTATGAATGAATTGTAAGCCCTGTTCTGCTTTAAGATGCAATCAAATGGGAATTCTGATTGCTCATGCGTACTTTGTGTCATAATCAAATATAAAAACACTTCATAAGACCCAGTCAGAACAGACAGCCAGTGTGGTGTAGTAGTTAAGAGTGTGGTATTGGGATGTGGGAGATCTGGGTTCTAGTCCCCACTCAGCCATGGAGCCAACTGGGTGACTTTGGGCCAGTCACAGACTCTCAGCCCAACCTACCTCACAGGAGCGTTGTTGTAAAGATAAGCTCGAGAGAACAAAGAGAACTATGTAAGCTGCCTTGAGTTCCTTGTGGGATGTAAGAATGAATGAATGAATGAACAGAGCAACTATTTATCCTGTGAAAGTTTACTACAGCGTGCATATGGCTATGTGAATGAATAATTTGTAATGCCTAATCAAGCGATTCGGAGAATTTTATCATCTGAGTCACTAGCATGATTATACAATTGTATGCTGGAAGAAAATAGGTGCATTGGGATCTGGTGGCAATTTAAAGCCTTCGAAAGAACAGAAGGTCTCAGTAGAATTTACTATGGTTAACGGGTAATCCTAACCCTTCTCTACTCCCCAATATTCAAAGCTATCTGTTTAATTCACAACAATTTCTTCACTTAGGGTATTGTGCATATGTGCCCCTTTTCCCTCCCCAGTCTGTCATATATGTATTTTTCCGGAAGTTTCAGTCTTAAGACATAAAGCACAAAATTACAATGGAGTGGGAGATTCCAGGCATGTAGATTGAATACTGCAATCTAGGGGTTTGTGTTTGGGGAATTCCTGACTGGGCAAAATTACCCAAGCGTTTTTCACACCGTGTCCTATCTTGGTTGGATTTGGCTGGTGCACGAATGGCATTGGAAGTTCAGGTTGCAGGTAGTGGCATGCCCTTCTTTTCCTCTCCTCATCACCATCCCAGGCAAGATCCGCCATGAAGGTCACAAAGGCAGCACATCAAGCTTTGTATCCCCTCTTGGGAGCTGATATTAATACTTCCTGAGGAATATTAGAAGGAACGTTAGTGTAAGTTGATGGACAATCTGGAACATGGAAATACAGTACCAATAATTTTTTGGAACTCACTACCCCAGGATATAGTGACTGGTACTACTTTAGAGAGCTTTTGAATAGGATTAGAGAAACATGTGAGTATATCTACTGAAGATTGTTAGCCTGATCCAGCATAGTATATTGATTGGGAATATTAATTTAGGGCTAAGGAAACCTTTGTTCAAATGTACACTCAGCCTTGTAGCTCACGGTGTGATCTTGAGCCAGTCATTAAACTTTCAACCTAACCTACCCCCAGGATTGTTGTTAAAATAACATTTGTGAAGTAGATTTGTGTGTAGATTTTTAGGACACTGTTTTGAGAGCTGTTTGATAAGCAATGGTATATAAACACTTTAAATAAATAAATATTTAGTTCCTGGAGAGAAAGGAAGCAAGGTAAGTGGAGCCTCTCATGTTCAGAGGCAGTATAGCTCTTGCTGGTAGTTGCTGAGCAGAGCAACACGGAGGGCAGGTGCTTTCAGAGATCCAGGATTTCCAGAGGGCAGCTCAGGAAAACAGAGTGCTGTGTCAGATGCATCCTTCATCTGATCCAACAGGGCTCATCTTAATTTCTTCATTCACATGCCCTGACTAATATGTGCATTGATACATTTATGTTTGCAACAATTTATGTGAACTCTGGCTATTTTCTGATAAAGCTCAAAATTGTCACCTGGAGTGTTTGAGATTTGCAGCCACACAGTGAGCCACGAGCAAGCAAATATGCCCAGTTTTGTCTCTGAATAAACACCCTGAAGTGGATTTTCCCCTCACAGAGACAGCCTATGTCTTCTATAATGTAAGTGAAGAATCATTAAGCAGATGTCCTGCCCTAGGACTGAGTTACATCTGGTACAGCAAAGTCACGTCCCCAACAGTCAAAGCAAATCAAAGGCAAGGTTTGTCAGGGTCCTGGAATGATCACTGTCTGAAACTCACTCAGAAGACACAGTTGTCTCAGCTACAAGCAAACACCTTCTTAAGACAAACCTGCTGTAAGCCACTCCGAGGACAAAGAGCCACTGTCCAGTTCTGCACCTGCTGGTTCTCACAGCCTGGGGTCAGTGACGACTACATTCGAGAGGTGCCTCTGAATCCATGGAGACTGATAGGATCATGTCCTCTGGTCTTGGAGTAGGGAGCTGTGGTGGAAGAACCTGACATGGGTGGGATAAGACTCTAAACGGTGTTCAGTTGGCTGGACGGACATATCTTATCATTGAACAGGGCAAAAGCTCACTTTCACTAATGACAACTTTTTGGTTGGTTTCAAATTGGCATAAGCAAATCATGCTTCATCTCAATATGTCATCATCTTCAAAATATCCAAGGAAGAGATCAGACATGCAGATATGGGCTATGGGCAATTAATTCCAATTACCTTATTTTTATTTTTTTTAGAACCAGCTAAAGTGAGGAGTCCTCAACAGAGGGGTTTAGAATTCGACTTGACTTAACATTAACGGCTTAACATGACTGGTGGCAGCCTGCCATTCTTTTCTGCGATGCTCTTGCAAAGAGAGGGATCGACCAGTACAAGCAAAAACAACACCCTCCTCACAGACAATATCTTGTAGTAGTGAGTTTGGAAAGCTTATTGATCTTTGCATATTTTTCAGATGCAGAAAACTAGTGCCAGACTCAACAGTGCTGCTGATTTTTCCATTTCCAAATGCTTCCTTGTGTGCCAGAAGAGAACATTTGTTATCCTGCTGGACATTTTCCACATTGTTTTTAAGGCATTAGCCAAAGCATATTCTGTTTTGTTTTTGATGTGGATCAAGTACACTCACACAATGCTAATTGGGAAGGATGAGGACACAATCCCAAGGGTTGTTTAATTCCTGTTTGCCCGTATAAGTCCTCTAGAAATGCAATGGTGCCTCTGTGGAGTCCCAGCATATCCTACTTTATTTTTAAAAGATTTAAAAATCCATACTGGCCACAAACACCCACCCACCCACCCAAACAAGCAAAAAAAAAAAAAAAAAAAAAAAAAATCTAAAATATTGGAACATACTGTATAGAAGGACATGCTTTTAAAAAGCCCACAAATTACTAATGCACCATTTATTAAAAATGACTTTGAATGTGGTATTAAGAAACCACATTCAAACCACAGGTGCAATCAGCAGTTGGACTGCAGGGTGAAACTTCTTGTTCTGCTCAACTGGAGGGCACAATTTCCAATGGAAAAATGGTGCTTGGGAGGAGGGTACCATATCCTTTTTGGATCCACCACTTTCCACTTGCCTGTTTCCCACATTTCTCCTGCAGACTTTTCTTTTCTCCCAGGCCCAAACATCAAACCCTAAATTCCTTAGAAACAGGTGTCTGGAATCTCTCCTGGGGTGGAAATGGGGGAAAGGAGCTGGAAGCCTTTTTCCACTTGCTTCTTCTCTGCCAGAAATTGTGTCCTCCAGGCTACACTGCAAAAGACAAACAGTGTCAGGGCTTTGATGACAAACAGGGAAATGGAACATATATTCCAGGTTCACTGGCCAAAATTGATGGTTGCAAATTGAGTGAGTCTGTCTAACACGGATGGTTAGCAATTGCCCAGTCTACCTATTGGGGCAGTGGATTCAACATATATGTCTTCTATTCCCAGGCTTCTGGTACATGGTAATAGTTATATGACTATTTAGCATGAGAACTCCTGAGTTCAATACTCTGAATATTTTTTCATACAGCTCCAATCCTGAAGACAATTATTTGAATCAAAATGCCATTACTTTTCATGAAACTTACTTTAAAATATGACCTAGGATTGTACCCTGGACATGGGGAATGCCATTTTAAACCCTTTTGTATACAGTGTAGAGCTTTCATTCTGTGTCATCCTTCTAATTTATTACAGCTGAGAAGAAATGCCCTCCACCACCTGATGTTGTGTCAGGCCATGGTGACTTGCCTCTTACTCAGAAAGGAGAGTGGGTATTACAGCCGCCTGACCAAACGGTTGCTGGTGTTGATTTTACTGCAGCTGTTGTCCTTTGTCTGCTTTCTTCTATCATGTCATCACTGACGATGCCAACTGGCACCAGGATCCTGGGAAAGTCGACCAGCTCCTACGAAAATACAATGGCCCCCTCGTCCAGAATCCGTGCCTATGCCAACAAGATGTGACCTCTCTGCAACAACAGAGACCAAGACAAATGAAGTCTGGGAAGTGCACATGGGCCACTGAATGAGCAGGAGCCTGCCGTTCAGTCCGAGGAGAGCGGTACAGCTGTGGATTCCAACAGCACCATCATAAGGACGTCTCAAGAGCGTTATGGCCAGGCAGGATGCAAACTCATGCATGTGTAGGCAAAAAAAGTCCTACAATTCCCAGCATTCTTCCACCTGCCACCCTGCTCAGGACTTTTTCCCTGTGTAAGCATGCATAGGATTGTGGCCTCAATGGAAAAAGTGTCGCATGGGTTCCTGCAGAAATGAGGGCTTAGAATGCATTTTGTTTTACAGGGAGGATGCATGAAGTCACGTCTTCTCTGTTGCCTTTCTACTTTATGGAGAAAATCTAACTGTGGGAGGGGGTAGGGGAAGAAGAGCAGCACATCTCTGCAGGTGTAGATGTCCTTAGTGCTGTGGTGCAGTCTTTGCAAAGAGGAATGGTTTTAACATAAGCCATGGCATTTGGAGAGGCCAAGCCTGCTCTCCACACCCCCACAGCTCTCTTTTTGCAGGCATTTCCTGGTGTTCTTTCTCATCCCACCTTTGCAGCAGCCCAATTCATGTATGACTACTTTTCTATTCTGCCTTTTCATCTCCTGAGAGGTGCCCAAAGCAGCGTACAAAATGCCCCTCTTCCTTTTAGCCTTACATTCTGCATAGGTTAGGCTGAGAGTCAGTTACTGTCTCAGACTGGCGCAGTGAGATTCATGGCTGATCAGGGGCTAGAACATGGACCTCCCGTGTCCCAGTCCAGCAACTACAATACCCCACCCAGAGCTGCTGGACTGATACCAGGAGGAGAGTAGATACAATAAACCATCCTCTTCCCTTATGTTCTGGCCTCTTTTTTAAAAGGTCCTGCAATTATTTTTTTACTCCTCCCTCTCCCTGTGCAAGCACACATTTTCTGAAGCAATTTCTCGTGTTCCTCCCCTTTCATAGTGCGTGGAAGCCAACGAATCATGTGACATTGCATCTGTAGCTAGTGCCCTCCCCTCCTAAAAATTTTACATGTAGCACCATTTTATCTTGGTGATGCAACACAACTAAGATTCTTGGGAAAACCACATCCTTGTGAATGGGAAAGACGGTGTGCGCAGGGGGTGAGGGGTGGGGTAGGCCAACTAGAGAAAGCTGAACAGGGGTGGGGGGGTGGAGTGAGAGAGGAAGAGTGAGGAGCTGCACTCGCTGGTCTAGGGTGCTTCTAGATGAGCCTTTTTAATGCAGAAAATGAATCTCATTCGTTGCCCTGTTAGTTCCAGATTGCAGCAATTTACACTGCAACTTGCCTGTTTTTCCTCACTGTTTCTTCTTCCTTTTTCTCTTACTAAGATGGTTGGAGAGTTGTACAGTGCTTCTTGACAGTGCCTGGTGTCCTCCATCTGGAAGCCGTCCGGCCTGTCAGATAAGCCAAAGCCAGCATGGAGGAAAGAGATCGCTGAGCTACACAAATGGGTGTGTGTTTCCACCAGAGCCAGAAGAGGGAGTGCACATTCCAGCTCCCTCCGGGTTTTTCTAGATAAAGCTATTCATCGTTCTGTGTGGTTTTGGTTTTGTTGTAGCACTGAAATTGGAACTCTACAAAAGAACTTTTCCTTTCCTGCTTTCCCATGGCATGACCTCTAGATGGCCCTGTGCTGTAGTGGAGCACCATTACGCAAGGAGAAATTGCGCAATTCTAAATAACGAAACTGGGAAAGTGCTTCAAGAAAACATTGTCTAAAAACCCCATAAACAACTGTGAGTAGGAAATCATGAGCACACACATGCTGTGTAGCAAATGTGCAGAGAACCTTAACACTCTCTGTGAGAAGGAAGAGATTAATTGTCCTTTGCTGACCCTTTCCATCTTGTCCTGTAGTCTAGATGATAAATAGCACAAGGTTCATGCATAAAAAGTGCTATATTCCCTCAAAGTGTGGCAAGTTAATTGCAAATGTAGCTTATAATAGAAGAGCAATGACTGTGCAACACAAGGGGCTGCCCTTCCGAGGCATCCTGGGATCTAGTCTAATCTTTTTTGTATACACTTGTTACTTGTTCACAGCGCAGCAACCTTATCGAGCATCAGGCTTGCAAACAGTAAGTAAAATAGAAGGGGATGCAAGCACTTTGAAAGCAAGGATGTAGATTCGGTTGAATAACTATATCATATAAATGAATGCCTTGTCAAGACTGAAAAAAATCAGTCTTTTTTTTAAACTGTTAGCTATCTTCCTTTTATCTTCCCAGGGCCTCTTGTTTCTTATTATATTAGATTGCAAGTCTCTGGTAAGAAGTATTTTTCAAGTATGTGAGCTTAGACTGAAATATCAAATAGGATATATTGTTAGTACTCCAAGTGAGAAAGACTGAGAACTACTGTGGATGAAATACTGGTTATGATTCAGCAGTGCATCCTCATACTCACAGCAGATAAAGAGGAATCATATTATTGGAGTTATTCAACTCAATCTGAGCCACAGAAGGACTATTAGGAATGATATTTTAATTGTCTTAATCTAAGAAAAATGCAGAAAACTGAAGAGATTTCAAAGGAAATTAACAAAGATGGCAGAAGTATTTACAAGTACATCATGTAGAGGGAAATTCAAGGAGGGCTACACTGGGTCTGGAGAAAATACGTTTGAAGAAGGACTCGGGAGCTATCATATCACAAACAGAATGGGCAGACGTTTTGGTCAGCCGCTCCTACCACCTCTTGGGAGGGCATGTGGCACATGAAAGGGGATCCCCATGGCAGAAATTCCTCCAGCCCTCAGAAGAATCCAAAGGTTTCTGTAAGCCAGATGGGAAGCCTCTGGGGGCCAAATTAGCTCTATGGGACAAACCTTTCCCATTTCTCTGTTAGCCAGTAAAAGAAACATCCAACTATAAAAGTAATTGGTCAAGGCAACAGATTGCCTGCAAGTAAGAGAGATTTTTTTTTCAGTGGGAACTTTAAAGGAGAAGCCAAATAAGTCAATAGCCAACATGAATTTTCTATAAAGAATCCTGTTTTTGTGCTGAGGGCCAGACAAGACTATCTCCCCAATAACACCCAATACAATCTGGGAGAGATATGATTCTGTCAGCAAATGTGCAGCAAAAGCAAAATTGTATTGATTTTTCCCAGAATCAGAATGAAGAGCACTAGCTGCCAAAACAGAACAATCTAACAATGAACACATGGATTGCCAAATGAGTGCAGACTCATTAATTGTTCACACACTTTGTAGCCTGGGGGCTAATAGAAAAGTCAGTGGAGAATATAAGGCATTAGGAATATACTGTCCCTTCCCGTGTAAAACTAATCCCTTATGTTCCCTTTTAATCTTACCCTTTCCCCCAAATTCATTCTCTTTTCACTAGCAGCATGTTCTGTAAGACCCACAGAATCCCTCCAGTGGTGCTGTAAGATGATTATTTCTGCTCCCACACAGGAACAAAAGACTGCTTTTGCTTTCCTTCAACTAGTAAAAATGCTCAGTCACATGTAATTAGCAGACTGGAATCTTACAGTATTGTCTTTTTAACTAAACAGCACAGCTTTGCTAATGTCGCTGGGTGAGATTTGGCACCCTGCGTTTATGCAGATGGTCTAACTGTTAGACCATGATGAAATCTAACTTGTCCCTAAAATAAATGTGTTCGGAAGTCCTGGAAAGACAAACCTCCTGCTTTCTACAGCAAAGCCAGCCTTGTACTCTTTAAGCTGTAACTAGAAACCTGACAGTTGATACCATTTGACTCCAGCAGTGGGGGATAGTGCACTATAAGAGAGCCTCAAGGAGGCCATGTGGCCCAGAGAGATCCTTCTGAAGCTAATTCGCCTTGCTTAGGTCCAGTTCTATAACCAAGTGCAGGGTTCTGAAGGGCCACGCTAGACGAGGCATGGATTGAAGGGTTGGGTGTTCTTGGATGGACAAAAAAACAGAGGAAGAAGGAGGTGATTTTCAGTTTGGGGGTGGGGCGGGGCAATGACTTGGCGTAAGAGCAAATCTTATTTCACCAGTGCCATGCTCCTAACTCAAGTTTTCTCCTCTTTGCCCTTTGAAAGACTTTGTTAAGGTAAAGGTGTGGGAGAGCTGATCACGAGAATTCTTCTGGATTGACCTCAGATGTCCAGCCTGTAGCATGGCTAGGAAGAATCTAGAAATCTATTTAGGGTTCAGGGATGAAGAGACAGAACACTGGCACCCAGTGCATGCCTGAACCTAGTCTGGGTATGTGCATCTGCTCACCATTGTGATGGGATAGAGTTCCAAGGATCTAGGCAGGGTAAGGTCCATAAGCAAGGTCAAGATGCAGTCCAAAGCTAAATATAATAGGTTGGGGGAGCGGGGAATGGGAAATCTCAAGACATGAGTCAGAACATCAGTATTCAAATACTGTCTCAATGCTGAGCGACTGGAAAGGAAAGCTTTTAACTCTGTTCCTTCAGAGCCTGCTCGGCAGACATCTGCAGGCCATTAGTGCCACCTGAGGAAATATTGTCTAATGAGCTAGACATGGCTTATGAGTAAGCCTTTAATCTCAGGGAGCCCCTATTCTTCAGGCAGACACTTCTGTGTCCAGCGGCTGGCTGAGCCTTGACCTGAGCTCCCTGGGGCCAAGAGGTGACTATGCCATGAATGTTGGGATCAGTAGCTGCCTTCCTTGAGGACAAAGGACCACCAACACCCATTTACTCCAAGATCCTGCAGACACAGGCAGCTCCTCTGTGATGTTTGGCTGAGGAGGGGGCTGGCAGGAGTTCCTGGTTATCCCCTGAAGCAAAATGGCGGGACAATGTATCATCTGCCAGAAAGTCACCGTGCGGCTTTCCCCTTTTCAATAAGCTGTTGAGGACAGGGGTTTAAACCAGGCCCTCTTTTCTTCCCAGGCAGATTACTGGAGAGCTGGAAAAGGTGCAGAGGAGGGCAACCAAAATAAAACAAGGCTGCAATCCAGTAGGGGCTTACCTGGGAGGAAGGAACTTGCTTCTCAGTAGACATGCCCAGAACTGTGCTGCAAATTAACAAAATGATTAAGGTGCTGAAGTGAATTCTGTTATAAGGAAGGATGGGCACATCAGGATCTGGGCTTTTTAGTACAGAAAAAGGTAAGGGATTTTTGAAACAGTAAAAACAAATTGCTTGGATCATTGGTTTTGTTGGTCCGTATACAGTACTTTGCATACTGCAAACTAGGACACTTTTCTTCAGTTAAAGCATATGCTTTTAACAATTGAATAAAAACATAAAATTGGGTTTTACAAATTTAAAGCACATTGTTTTGTTTTTTAAATAATATTGTCATGTTTCATTTCAAACCAGATTGTTTAAAATTGTCTCAATAAAGGTCAGTGAAAGTTATGCCTATATCTTCTGAAAACTAAATCAGTGGCTTTCTTACCACACATTAGATTAAAGGTTGTATTAAAAAATAAGTATGAGTAGAGTATCTTCCTTATGTAAAGCATGATAGATATGGCACAATGAGTTATGTGTGGTGGTGGTGCTGGTATCTAATGTTAGTCTTACTGAGAGCAGACCCATTAGAATGAATATAAATTAAGTTACTCATTGTTTATGTCCCATTCATATCAATGGGTGTACTCAAAGTTGGACTAACTTTGAATACAAACCTGTATCATTACAGACTTGAAAGTATGGACTAGGGATTGGGAAATCATCAAAACACCAAGAAGATACCAGACTGTAGCATCCATAGAAGGTTCATTTACTGGTTCTCATCTGGTTACTCCTATTTACACTGGAGTTTGGTAATGTGCTAAGTGATTTATAGAACAATCCTGTACTTGCCTTCTCACAAGTAAGCTCCATTAAGTTAAATGGATCTTAGTGTCAGGTCAGCATGTATAAAATTGCAATCTGAATTATAAATATTCTGTATGAATAACCACATTTTTCATCTGATGAAAATAAGCTGTTTTACAGTAAGTACCAATACAACCCTGGCTTCTGGAAAGTTCTGAGCCCTTGTTTAACTATAAAACAGAGACATGTACAAAGTGGGATCAAGCAAAACATATATTTTAAAAAAATCTATTAGTTTTAACATTGTCAGATGAAGGAATTGAAATTGTGAAAGGTTGTACATACCTTGGCTCAACCATCAATTCAAAAGTAGACCTCAGCCAAGAAGTTGGAAGAAGACTTGAAGGGACAGCAAGGAAGGAACTAGAAAAGGTCATCAACTGTAAGAATATTTTATTGGTGACCAAGGCCAAGATTGTCCACACTACTATATTTCTGATCACTGTGTATAGATGTGGAAGCTGAACAGTGAAGAAAGCTGACAGGAAAAAATTTGAAACATTCTAAACATGGTGTTGGAAGACAGCTTTACGAATACCCTGGATCAACAGAAACATGAACAAGTGTGTCCTAGAACCAATCAAACCAGAACTTGCCCTGAAGACAAGAATGACAAAACTGGAACATCTATGCGAAGACTGACTGGAAAAGATAATCATGCAAGGGCAGTCAAAGGCCGAAAAAGAGGAAGATCAAATATAAGTTGGATCAACGCCATAAAGGAAGCCACAGCCTTGAGTTTACAAGAGCTAAGTAGGACATCTTGGAGGGTATTTATTCATAGGGCGACTATAAGTCAGAGATGACTTGACAACAGCAACAACAGTAATGACAACTAGTGTTAATAGTTGTAAGGAAATCCTAAGGAATTGATGGGATTGTGATAATTCATTAACTTTATTTAGGTTTTACAATACAGAGCATGTGATTTACTTCTAACGTTCTTAATGAACTGCTGCATGACACAGATAATAAGTAACTATGTCTAGTTAAATAAATTATGCTTTCTGTAAAATTACAAAACATGTTAATAAACTCCTGAACAGTATAAATCTGGGGCAGAAAGCCCATATCAGAATTCATGTCCGAGAGCACTAGCTGAAGTTTCTTGACCACAGTGAGAAAAAGGAGCATCCCTTCAAGTAATTTAAGCCCACGGTAAAGACATAACTGGAACAGACCGTTGGGGTGGTGTCAGGTGTAAGCAAGGGGCCCACTGATAGGATCCCCCTAGAGTTGCTTTCCTCTTCATCAGGGCAACTGGCTTGTTCCAGCACCTGTCACTCCAGCCCTGACAATGGTGGTGGTGGTGAGGAGGAGGAGGAGGAGGAGGAGGTGTCCCTGTCCACTTGCTCCTTGGCTTGCTGCACTGCTCAGGGGCAGTGACCAGAAACAGAAGAAGAGGACCAAGAGAGGTGGTTGATGTTGATGGTGAGAAGGTAAGCTCACTGAGGGAAGCGACCCATTAGGGTTTCTTGCTCAAGGGCCCACAAAACCAGTAGATCATTGTCAGCATGCAGGCGCATACGAAGTAGTCGCACACTGTCAGGTCTTTGAGACATCTAGCTAAGAACTGTCTACTGTACAGACCAGCAGCTGCTCTCCAGGGCTTCAGAGAGGGGTCTTTACAAGTCCTCCCTGGAATAACAGAGACTGAACCCGGGACTCTCTGCATTCAAAGAATATACTCTAACACTGAGAGATCTCTCCCAGGTGAGGATGTCATCACCTTGCTGCATGGGAGGACTCTGATTTGTTTTGCATCAACTTGAACTTGAATGTTCACCACCACCACCACCAGCAGCAGCAGCCTTGTTTCTCCCAAACCACTGCCTATACTGAAAATGAATGGGGTAGAAAGAGAGAATAGTATGAGTTTCATGGGAATGTTGGTATGCGTGGAAATGATGGCTGCAATCCGTTACTCACCTCAGGCTAAGCTCCACTGAACTCAGCAGAGTATGAGGTGGGAAGATACATATAGAACGGCACTGTGCATCTCTAGTCTTAGGTATGCACTTGTGAAGGACTGCCATCATGGCAGATGAAGAACAAGAGGACCATCCCTGAATTACATTTAAGTGCTGAGGCAGCCACCATGCCCGTTGCAGTGCTATGAGGTCTGGTTCATCCCCAACGCTGGCTACAAACCTCTAGGTCGTTACTCCGAATTAGGCCACAGCCCCTTGCTTGCTCAGACAGAAGAAGCTCTATAATTCCCATCATGCTCCAGTCAGCATGTTTTTGGGTTTAAACATGCATAGGACTGCACCCTCAAAGCAAAGGTGGGCATTCACCTTTAAGCATGACGCTCAGTTTTCCTCCTCTCTGTTGACAGAAGGTGCAATCGCTCAGCAAATATGGTTTATCCCTTACACATCCTTGATGGTACTTCGTGATTATTGGGCACTGCCCAGAGCACCAGGAAGCGCTGCAGCTGCTGCCTACAAGCTGTTCCTACATAATCAGGCCTCTGATAGCCTATCATGCAAACACCCACAATTATTTGCTTTGCCAGCCCATCCCAGTATAAAACATTAGCATATAAGCAAAATAAATTTCATTTGCTTTATCTGAAGAAGCCTTCTTCAGATCATTCAGTCTTACGTTCAAGAAGCAGGAATAGGCAAGGTAAGTTCTAACAAGCATTCAGTCCCTCCACAGGTTCACTTCTAACAGTGCAGCCCATACCTGCCTGCTTAGTCTTGCTCTCAGGTAAGTCAGGTAAGTATGTATAGGATTGCAACATTTCTATTTTACTTCAGAACATAACTCTAGAAATCATGGTATTAAACATGAGGACTTACTGAAACCCCTCCCTTTTTTCAAGAATATACTATTTAATTTAAAAAGAAATGTTCACTGTCTGGGCTGCTTTTGAAATTCTTCGTGCAGTTTTAAAATTTCCACATTCCAACTAGTCAGAATAGCTTCATACTGGGCCCAAATACTTATTTATATTGATTACAGATTATATGGGAGCTTCTGGAAAGTTAAAGCATGTCCTTAACATTAGGATCTTGAAATCCAAATAGGAAAAAGAGACAACAGGCCTTCCATTTTAAATTTTTTTAATGCTTTTATTGCTTATATAGATGAGGTTGCATTAAGAGTCACTCCATGTCTTCATTAGACAGACTGCAATTACAGGGTTGCATCTGGCCATCAGGCTATCTGCTACTGGTGTTAAATCTACGTGTTTTGTAGTCATGACAAACAGTCATTACTGTACTGACAGTGTGACGGTGACCTGGGCTATGATAGATTGGAGTAGAGCTACCGTCTATGTCTGTTGAACTAAAACTTACATGCAGCATAACATGCTTTAAATCCATGTTTTCACTGGTGGATCAACTAGCAATGTTTTAATTTTGTTCTGAGAATTAACCACACAAGTATAATGCAAAGAACAACAATTCACTGACTGTTTTGATTGGTTTTATTTGAAGTTTGAATCTCTTTCTAAAATCAGCTAGGTATTTCAACATGAAAATGGAGATATACTAATGGTAGTGCTATGAATAGGCAGATGAATCAAATGTTCCATCTTTCATATCAAAAACTAAATTTGCTTAGTGGGTGTTTTTTTTAACAACGAGTGTTATGTATATGTTATTGGAAGACATTCTTGTACAACAAAAAATTCAGGAGGATTTTTTATTAGTTCTGTCCCAAAATAAGCACTAGAATGATCAATGTTTGCAGTTCCCATATGATTAGTATTGATGGAGAAAAACCATTTTTAGTTTTTAAAGCTAAGGTCATAAAAGTCTTAGTGAACTTATACTGACTAGAATTTTAAGAAACTAAAATATATGGTTCTCATAGACATCCATGTTTCAACCCATCCTATGAGCTAAACATTTGTGCCTCTACTGTACAACTCAAAGATGTACAATATTCTCAGGACTCAGAATAACCAAACCTTTACTTGGGCTATGTATTGACAATGGCTTTCCAGAGACTCGGCAGTAGTGCTCTAGAGCTGTCCTTGCCTGTGGTATACGACTTCATGGTTTTTGTCCCACCATATTCTCCAGGACAATTTAGTATTTGTCATCGCAAGAAAGCCAAAGTTTTAGAACTTGTGCCTTGTCAAAGCCAAAACTATTCCAAGCCCCTGCCCCCCCCCCCATTTGACCCCCTCTACTGTAAAAGATGGATTGGATCCAGACATAGGCTACTGTCTATACCCACTTGCCTGGAAGAAGACTGATAGGATGCAATGGGACTTGCTTTGGAGCAGGCATATAAAGATTGCACTGTAAATTAATAAAGAAAGTGCCAATTAAAAGGCAGTTGACTGGGCAGTTACATTTTAATTCCCCATGGAATGCATTGGGAACTAACTGCAATGAACTTAGACAGACTCCAACCTGATGTATAGACATTTTGGTGAGACTGTTGAAGATTTCCAAAATGATTTTTTTTAAGTAAATAGGAGAATACTGGTCTTCTTTTAGCAGTAAAATTGACTAAATCCAAAGCTTGTCTAGTCAATGTTGTTATTTTATTGTCCTGTATAATCACACAGCTTGTGTAGTCTGTGTTACCATTCCATTATTTTGTATGGGACTTGAGGAAGAAGTGGAATTATATAGTATATTACAGGCTTTTTCTCCTGTATAAACCAAGATGTTTGTACAGATCAAGATAAGGATGCTGCCTGATAGCTTTAGTGCTTTGGGGGAAATTGTTTTCACCACTACAGAGAAATGACAATGTGCACATACTTATGGGATATTCAGAACAATGCCAATATTAACATGGTGTGCATGTGTATGCGTGTGCATGCCTGCGCCTGCATGCACACATTTTCCTCATATATTTTATCCCATCACGTGTTTCTACAAAAGCCCAAGGACACAAAAACTTGTACATCTGACTTCTTGCTTATCTCTGCTGCTTTTGTTCCTAAGTTTTGCTTTTCTAGTCCTTCTCAGGCGATTTCTTTTTCTGTTTATTCTCAGTGTTGTTTAATCTTAAGTTATGTCTCTAAATTCACTCCTCAGCTGCAGATGGCATAAGAATCTGCCGTGCATGTGGAGATGTGTATGGGAAAACCACTGGATTGGACACTATGATGATAATACTGATTTTGTATTCCTGCACTGTCAGAAAGCAAATACACACAACAGTTTGCTTACTAATGTACAAATGTAGTTCCTATGTGCTTTTCTTTTCTCCCTCACCCCCAGGCTCTGAAGATGCTAGGTTATACAGTTCTATGCCTGTGCTTTCTCATCAACCTTCATGGGGGCACTTTCTCATTGGCTTTGACAAAGGATGAGGTGTACGCAAACATCAGCAACCGGCATATAATAACGGACCAGGATGCAGATTCCTTGATAAACATCCAAACGCCTACGGTTTATAAAGGTAACAAAAATAAAATTGTGGCATTCCTCAAAAGCTATATAAAAATATAATGGGAGCGGACATATTATCACCAGTGTCATCATTATCATGATATTAATAATACAGCCATTGAAGGTACAGTGAGCCACATTGTAATCCTCTCCTATTTTCCACTAAATTTAAGAGATACAGGATAGTACTAGAACAAAGGAGGGGATATAAAGGAAGGAAATCTAACAATTGCCCCAAGACTCAGCAAAGTGTGTCACTTCAAAATCAGGGAAATTAAAAGAACCGGGAAGACATGATGTGGGCACCTCCAGGGTCGCAGCTTTGTTGAATTGCCAATGTGAGGACATGAAAGGTGCTACAGGAGTCTGGTCTCTCTTTTCAGACTACCTGGCAAGAGACTGCAGGCATGCTTACCACCGTGGGAGGACCCAGAATGGCCTGTATGTCATCCGTCCGAAATACACTTCTCAATTTGTTGCTGTCTACTGTGATATGGATTACGATGGAGGTGGCTGGACAGTTCTGCACAGAAATGATGTCAGCCAAAAGACACCGTGGTCAGGCTCATGGCAGGATTATAAGCAGGGCTTTGGGAACTTGCGGGGAAACCACTGGCTTGGCAATGAAATCATATACCTCTTAACCAGGCAGAATGCCTTCACTGTGCGATTTGTCATTGTTGATGGTAATGGAAAGAATAAGTACGCTGAGTACCAGAGCTTCAGGGTGGACAGTGAATCTACTGGCTATGTCTTGAGGCTAGGGAATTACACAGGGGATGCAGGGGATGCCCTGACCACAGTGGGTGAATCGGGAATCCATGACAACATGAGGTTTTCCACTGAAGACAGGGATAATGACCGGAGGGCCAGTACGAATTGTGCACTGGACAACGGTGGTGGCTGGTGGTATGATAACTGTTACTCAGCCCTCCTCACCAGTGGCCAGCACATTTACTGGAAGGGATTGTGCACACAGACTAGCAACTGCAAAGTAGCATCCATCATGATTAGACCAAATGGGAAAAACTGCCACCTACCTCGAAGGTATTAATGAATTGTTCCTTACTGCTTTAGAGGCTTCTTCTCATTTTAGCTCAGCTCTAAAAGTCAGCAGAACACCAATGCCAACATGTCGTTTGACGAGCTTTAAGATCTAGGGCAAAATGCCCCAGGATTTTCTTCTGAACAAATTGCATTGAAAGGAATGAAAGTTGTCTCGGACCACAGAGGGGCTGCCTCAAGACATTTTACTGGTTGGGACAAAGCAGCAAATTTTCCTCACCCCATTTGGGCATGTAGTACCCAGGGCTGGCTGAGTTTTTTTGGCCCCTTAAGCGGAAAACTCAGAAAGTTCCTCTCCTTGGAAGTAAAAAAGTAACTTGGGTCATCAGTTTATTTGGAATCCAAGTTCTGAGGTTCTGTGATCTCGAGCTCCCTTGATCTGCCCCCATCACAGCCAGTACAGGAAAAACTGCACCAGCAGCCTCCTCACTGCATGTCACTGGGCCTCGGAGGAGGAGAAAGGCCATCTGGATAAAATACCCGGCCGGAGGCATAGCCTGGCTTAGGATGCACGCAAGCTTTTGCATTCAGAGAATTACATGCACTGAGGGCACAAAGCATAGGACGGCACCCTAAAATAACATATAATTTGTTCCCTTTTCATGATACACAAAACTGGCTACCTGAGATAACTGCTGCACTGCCTAATGGTAGCAGCACACCTGGACCGCAATAGTGGGATTGTTAAACAACTCTCATTCACTTCAATGGGTTTCTTTCTCAGGAGAACTAACCAATGAAAACTGCTCTTAACCAGATTTGTTAATTTTGCCAGATCCCGAGGAAGCACTGCTTTAATTCCCTCAGCTTCAGCACTGGCATCAAGAGAATTGGAACAGTGCTAGGAATTAAAACAGCCTGTTCTTCCCTGCATATGAAAAACAGTGACTTATTTAAAGCCAACGTAGAGCTGAAATGTCTGTGCTTTTAATGAAAAAAATTATGTGTGATTTTCAGATACCTGCAATTAAAAAAAAAAGAGTGAAATGTCTCTGGTTTGTGATGTTCTTTCTCAAAGAGGGAGTTATGTTTTCAAAAATGGAGATGTAAAGATGTTCCGGGGTCCTGTTTGAACCTGAAATATACAATAATTCACCCCCACATTGTCTCAGTGGGGCAAGTCAAGTAGGACGCCAGAGTGTTTTAGCCCCACATTCTTTACTCAATGCAGTTCTGCGATGGAGCTTCGTGGAGCTCAAGGCAGTGTACATGTTTGCCAGCACTGTGAGGTTGATTATGCAGAGATACAGTGACTGGTCCAGGATCACTCAGCCAGTTTCATGGGCCATTAGCAGTCCGAACCCGGGCTGTCCTCCTCTAGCCACACTGGCTCCTTCTGCTGACACTATACATAGTTGCTGTTGAGGAAAACAGACAGATTTTCCAGCAATGGGGGGCGGGGGGAGTTCCTAGAAAATATCACACCCCTGTCCACACACATTCTATAAATTAATTTTCAGGCATTCCTTTGCTGAGGGGGAGTTGCTTTTCTAGCAACAGGGCACAAATGGGAAGGGACAGGGCAATGTAAGAGACCCTATATTGAGAAAAAGGCATATTAGTATATCAAGTATAGTGAACATGGTGAACATACCACACATGGTCCATCCGTCTGGAAAAGATGATGGCCTTCCATTGGATTTTGATCCTTTCAAGAAAATATGGACAGCTCTCTCATGGCACTTACACACAGGCTGCCTGATCCATGAAATGTTACGGGAGGTTCCAATGATGCTTTCTCATTTTAATCCTCCCTTGTTTCCATGCCTCTTCTTTCATTTTTTTCCCTTTCCACCAAAAAAGAAAAAAAGTTATGAATGGAAATAATGAGTAGTTGCTGTCTTTTTGGATAGGTAGCACTAAGAGCCATCCTTCTGGAAGCACCCCTAAGGTGCTTCCAGCCTATTGATGGTGTCTTTGCTTCTCAGAAGCCCCCAAACCTGGAGGCTTCAGGCATTCCTATGCCCTGCCAGGCTGCAGCCATTTGGCCAGGAGGAGGATCTTTGCTTCCCTGTTCCCCCTTTTTTTTCTAGATGGGCATCTGAGGGAGAGGGAAGGAGGCTGGAAAATAAATTGTACCCTGGCTTCTCCATTCTCCTCCCTATTTGCCGCAATGCCCCCTTCCCAGTCTTAGAAAGGCAGCTGGCAATGTTCTTGCCATGCTGGCTATCGGGAATGCTCCTTCAGGGACTGCAGAATTGCTCTCCCTGTCACGTAATTTTAACAGAATACTCAGAGCCTCTGATACCTGAACAGTCCATAAACATTTTGTGGGAAAACTATGTTGTATTGGCTCCCTGGCTGAATGTTCACACTTTCACCTTCCCCTCACAGTCTCCTAAACAGTGTATAGAATATGTATTCATAGAAGCAGCCCAGGTGTTCTGAACATCGATTTGATAAAAGGGACCATGAAAGCTTAGCATGGGAATCGTAAGGAATCCTCCTGATCTATGGGAAGGTTTAGTGAGGGCCAGTGGAGTCTCTGCAAAAGCAGGGAAAGGGAGTCACAGAGGTCTGGGAAGTATATCGTTCGCCATTTTCTAGCCACACAGATTGTTAGAACATGGGAACAGTGCCATTTGTAAGCACACAGACACTGGGAGGGTTATTGTACTTTTGACACCAATTCACATGTTATGTACACTTGTTATACATGCGAAGAGATTCCACGAGTAGAAATGGGGCTGTGTTACTAGTCTTGCTGAATTTGGCGCTGCCAAAAGGGTTGGATGATAGTGGAGGAACATAGCTTGTGCTAACAGGATACCTCCCACTGCCCTTCTACATGAAAAAGAAGGGGTTTTTTTTTGTGGGGGGGGGTTGGCAAATATGCTAAGGCTATGGGAAGTAGTGAGGTTAAAAGCATCGGAGCTGAATGTACTGTATCAGTGCTGTAGCAGGGCCAGGGATCACTGGCTTGCAGTGCCAGGACCTTCTTCTGAGTGGGGACCCTGACATGATCTGCCCTTATCCTCTCAGAATTCCCTGTTCCCTCCTAGCTTACTGCAATTCTCCCAATAGCAGGGGGGAAATTAATTTTCTCAGCAGTACTATAGTGTTCCTCATTGTAATGCAAAGTATTTTGGAGTCATTGGGTCTTGAACAGATAATTAAGACCAATTAGCTTTAGCAAAGATGGCTTTTGCTGGAGAAGAAAGCCTGTTACAACTAGTTTGTTGATATGGAGCTGCACAACGGCCTGGATTGTTGGACTCCCCTTGGGGACATGGTCATGCTGAGCACCTGCATTTCAAACCTTCATGACAATACTGCTGCTTCGCATTCGCCAAGGAAGGAGTAGCAACCCCAGTGCTAAATGCAGGGCAAATGGCATCTTTGTAACCTGGCCTGACAAGTGGTAAAGAAAGCTGGGTCTTGTATTCAAAGGGTGATATCTATTAAGTCCTGGTTCTGTCAGCAGAATGGGGAGGGGGTACACCCTCCTTCCTCTGGTCACCCCTGAGGACTCATACTCTTTTCCTGGAGGGTTACACAACATTCTGGAGCAGAAGACTTCAAGGGGCAGAAGAGGAGAAGCAAACCCTACTACATGAGAAGATAACTGCTCCGGGTGTATCCTAATAACCCAAACAGATGCCTAAATACTCAGTTAAATCAAAGGATCAGAAACTTACTATAATGAGGAAAATCCACACTATACATTCTTGCAAAACTTGTAAAGATGATTAGGCTGGGAATGCAGCAATTAAACAGAAAATGTATGCCTTGTTTTCCTTAAGCAATGGGCTTAAATGGATGACTTGCTTCACCCCATTTCTCTGAGCAGTGAGAAGTACCACAGCACAGAGATTACCCACTTGTTTAATTAATTAATTTGTACCTCACCATTCTACTAAAAGTGGCACTCAGGGTGGGGTACAAATGAATGGTACAACCACTAATAAGCAAACACATTGGAACACCATGAAAAACAATAAACAACCATCACAGCAGAATAGAAGCAGTCCCCAGCTTGATACACCTGGTTGTGCCGCCGAGTTCCACTTGAATAATGTGGTCTTTCCCCACTGTCAGAAGGACCACAGCGAGGGAGCAGACACTTGGCTGGTGGTCCACAATTTGGCAGTGGTTACTAAGAATCTCACTTGTGTCATCCCCCCGCCTGCCCCCAAACATGCCTCTGAAGGGAGTGGTCTCAAAAGAAGAACATCTATGGAAGATCTTAAGAATTGGGCAGGCTTGTAGGGGAAAAGGTGTTCTTCCTGGTAGTCTGGTCTCAAGCCATACCACTCTTTGTAGGTCAGAACCAGCACTTTGGATTCTGCCTGGAAACATACATTTTCTGTTGCAACCAAGGAGTCTCATGTTCTTTGCATTTAGCTCTATTTGTAATAGTTGAACTTATTTATTAGGGAACGGACAAATCTATCCGTTTTACTCTCTCTCACATTCATATGGTTAATACCTCAAGTTCTTTCCCTCCTGTTCATAAATGCCAGTGGCAGTGCTGGCTGGGAAGGACGGGAGTTGTACTGCAAGATATCTGGAGGGCAACAATTTTGGGAAAGCTGGTACAAACAGTCTTCAAGAATAATATGAAAATATCCAAGCAGTCACCCTGCCTTAAAACAGTGGCAGGAATACTTCCTTATTTCTATGTTCACTTTCCTTATGTCTCCAACCCTGAGTTAATGTTCTTCTTTTACAGTGTTTGCCCCCTCGTGTTACCTGCCACGCAGGTCTTTGTGGCTGCGCTCCATTTCTAGATCATTTCATGAGGTCTACGGTAAAGATAAGAATCTAGGAACAAACAGGTGGGGTGTGTGCACAGGTTGCGTGGAACCCAGTATCACTTTGCTGCTTAAACAGAGAGCCTGAGGATTCCACTGATGGAAGCAGCCACTGAAACCCACAAAGAAAGCCAAGCATAGCTCTTCCTGTGGGCTGAAGGATGCAGAGTGCAAACTGAACGATCCGTGGTTTGATTTGTGATGTCCAGTTGATGCTGAACATCCAGCTCTTGGT